GGGGGGGCCACATCCAGCATCAGGGGGCACGGGCCTGCAGCAGGGGGGCACAGGCCTGGGGCGGGGGGGGCACATGCAGCATCAGGGCCCTAGGCAGGGGGGGCCACATCTAGCATCAGGGGGCATGGGCCCAGGGCAGGGGGGCACAGGCCTGCGGCAGGGGGGCCACATGCAGCATCAGGGCCCTAGGCGGGGGGGGCCACATGTAGCATCAGGGGTGGGGTAGTGAAGGCCCGGGGCACGGGGGATGCAGGCCTGAGGTGGGGGGGGCAAAGGCCCAGGACATGGGGGCCACAGACCCAGGGCAGGGGGGGCCAGAGGTCCAGGGGGCAGGGGTGCCACAGGCCCAGGGGGCGCAGGCCTGGGCTGCTCTTCAGTGTTCAGGCAGCTGAGGTCTGTGGGGTTCACTGCATCAGGCTGTGCTGGGGGAGGGGGTTTGGGGGAGCAGGGCCTAGGGCAGATGGCAAAGCTGGAGTTTGTACTTCTAGAAGCAGCACTGTCCCCCTCCCCTGGGCAGCAGGGTGGCCTCAGCTGTGAGTGACAGAGTGGCTCCAGCTGGCAGAGACCCTGGGGCTGTATGTGGCCAGAAGGGGCTGGGGGCTGATAGAGCAGCTGCTGTGTGGACTGGGAACCAGCTCTCGATTTGGGCAAACGGCAGGAAAGCTGGGAAGGTGGGGTGACTTGCAACATGTCACACTGCGTGACGGGGGCACCCAGAAGCAGGGTCACTGCTGCGGGAACACCTGACACTGGCGTTCCTATCCTTGCCTCTTGTAGGGTGCAGGGAGGGGCAGTACTGTTAGCGGGCTGTGGCTTCTTCTAGCAGGTGAAGGCCCCATCCACAGCTGGGGGCATGAGGGGTGCACAGGCATGACCCAGAGAACCTCTGGGTGCTTCCAACTATGCCACCATCTCAGAGGGTGCCTGCACAAGACGTTGCATCGGCCTGACAAATAGCCAAAGAGGATGCAACGTAACCATCAATCGTTCGATCAAACACGAGCTTAAGGAAATCCCAGTCACTGCTCGGACCAAGCTCCCGGCTTTCTCTGGGAACAGGTGGGGGCCAGGCCACTCACAACGGAGTGACAGCCAGCCCTGAAGGCAGTGTCCAGAGCGCCTCCCAGCGGCAATGCTGAGTAGGGGAGGGCTGGAAGGGAGGTCAGGGAGCCCTCGCCTCTTGTTCACTGGGAAGCACACCAACTCCCTGGGAACTCAGGTCAGGAGAGCGCAGGTGTGGTCAAATGCCTGCCTTTATGTGACCTTCTCAGTTCTTAGGAAAACTGGGAGGCTTTTCGGTTACCTTCGCCCTGGCGTTCCATCCCAGAGCTCGCTTCCAGCGTAGCTATGGACAAGTTGGTTTGATAGTGTCTGGGCCTAGGCCAAAATCTGCACTGTGATTGGTCAATAGGCTGCAGAGTGTGGGCGTGGCCCCCGCTGGGTCACAAGAGCCAGTGGGTCTGTGGTCTGCAAGCCCTGCCGCACTCGGTCACCCAGAGGCTGGCTTGCTGGGGAAAGGGGGCTTCATCTGCTTTTCCCACTGCCCCTCCCGGGCCCCGGACACCGGGCCCCTGCACTACCTAGTGGGTCGCACCTTCATCCGAGCTGCCTCCAGCTTCCGCACCACTGCCCGCCGGAAGCCCCGCCTCTCCAGGCGTCCGGGAACCGCCTCCACCGCCGGAGACCCATTCTCTCACGGTCTGAGCAACCGCGATTCCGCTCCCCACCGCTCGGCTCGCCCCTCATTGGCGATGACGCCCCCAGCCCACGCCTGGTCCGTGAACCATCAGGCGCCCGGCCGCTCTCAGACCCACGGGGGCCGACAGATCGATCCCCCTCACCCCTGCCCATCACCCACCTGTCCTGCCAGGTGACCCCGTGTGACGGTCCGGCCTGTCGTTGTCCACCCGCCACTGCGCTGGAGCCTTAGGGTGCTCGGCCGCTTCCCTTGGCTCCGCTCTCATCCACCGCCCCGGACTGCGGCCCCCGCCCTCCCCTGGGGACCCCCGCGGCCCGGGACCCCACCCGGACACTCTGGTCCTTGCCCCGCACCCGGCCCTCCATCCGCTCAGCTGGCTCAACCCAGGCCCGCACGGCACCCGTCGGGACTCCGCTCCCGCCAGCCCGCGCACCGCCCGCGGCCTTCATTTCCAGGCCTGCACGGTCCACACCGCCGCACTCACCTCAGCGCCCGCCGCGCTCTTCTTTGCTTCCCCGCCCTCCGCAGCCTCCTCTTCCAATTGGCGCCGGGCGCCCGTGCCGCCTACTCCAATAAAAGACCAGGCGTCTTACACCTCCGTGGGTGAACTGACCAACCCTAAGTCCCAGTCTCTAGGGTAGAGGCGGAGCGTACCTTGGCCGGTCCTCACCAGCGATTGGTGATTGCCTGCCGAGGTGGCCTCGACCGGATTGGTCAGGGAGGCGATGGGTCGGGGCCCGAGCTCCGATTGGTGCGCGTCCCGGATCGCGCTCAGCGATTGGACGCCGGCGCTGTCAGCGGGCAGGGCGCTGGAGGGCGGGGCGGGGCGACACTGACGGGTGAGGGGCCAGAGCTGTGGCGCGGGCGGCGGCGTCATGTCCTCGGAGGTGGCCGCGCGCCGCGACGCCAAGAAGCTGGTGCGCTCCCCGAGCGGCCTGCGCATGGTGCCCGAGCATCGCGCCTTCAGTAGCCCCTTCGGCCTGGAGGAGCCGCCGTGGGTACCAGACAAGGAGGTAGGGCGCCCGCGGCCGCACCCGCGCGCCCTTCGGGGTCCCAGTGTGCCCAGGGATTCGCGCACCCCTGGGTTCCCCATGGCACCCCGGCCCGCGCGACCCTCCTGGGGTGCCTCTGGGAGCCTCCTCTGTCTCCGTTCGTTGGGGCCTCCGTGCGCCCGGGTGGGGCCGTCTCGTCCCCGCCCCACCCGTCGGCGTTCCTCGCGTTCCCCGGACCCGCGCGCCCTTGTTGGGGTCCCCGTGGGCGGGCCTTGGGTCTCCGTTCTTTGGGGTCTGTGCGTCCGGTTGGGACCGCCTCGACTCCCCCAGCGTTCCTGGGGTTCCCCGTGCGTCTCGGAGGGCCGTCCGGTCCCAGCCCCTCGGGGTCCCCCTGACCTCGTCCCACTCCCGGTGACCTGTCCGTCGTGGCCCCCGGTGCCCTGCGGACCACGTAATGAGCTCCGGAGCTCCCCGGCCCGGCCCCGGGGCCTGCCCGCAGCCCCGGCGGAGCCCCGGGGACTGGTGCCCAGCGTGCCCACCCCTCCTGGGCTGCCTGTCGCCAGGATCGCCCGTCTGCTCCGTTCAGCCCTCCGTGCTCCGTTCCTGCTCGGCTCTCCTGCAGCCCCCGCCCGCCCTTCCCTGGTGCTGCGCGACGGCCGCCAGCTCGTCTGACCCCCCGCCTGGGCCGAGCTGCTGGAGCGACGCCGAGCCACGGGGCCTGGCGGGCCCTGCCCCTGTGGGGGGCCCTGGGAAGGCGGGTGGAGGGCGCGGGGAGCAGGGGTGTGCAGACGGCCAGGGAGGGCGGGGTGCCCGCCAGGGTGGAGCCCACTCCCTGCTGGAGGGACCCCCCACCGCCAGGAGCCCCGCCTCTCCCCAGTGGGGCACGCGCTACGTGCACGCCTGTCGTTCCGTTTCAGAGCAGAGGTCAGGTCTAGAGACAGGACGGGTGCACCTGGACTCCCCTCGCCCGGGAGCGCCACCGGCGGCCAGCCGTGCAGGTGCTAGGGAGGACCCGGCTTGTGCAGGAACAGACGGGGAGGGCCCCTGCGCTGGCACTGCCCTCCGTGGGACGAGCCCGGGCCGAGAGGCTGCGCCCGGCCCTGCGCCTCTTGTCCAGCCTTTTTCACTCGGTGTCTGTCTGTGCACTCACAGAACGTCCTTTTCCTTGACCTTAGCCCCGGGGTCAGTGCTGTGAGAAGAGGATTTGAAACGAGAGACAGAGTGACTGTAGTCCAGCCAGGAAACCAACATGGCTGTGACTTACCTGGCCCGCCAGGCCCCAGCAGCTTTGCAGGAGCAGGCAGGCAGCCTGTGGAAGTGAGGGTGCACACCGGGAGCTTGTGGCAGGAAGGTGACCACCTCCCGCCAGGCCATGGACCCCCTGTGTTGTGGGTTCAGAAGAACACCTGTCCACAGAGGAGCGAGGCACCAAACTGCCTTCCCTGCTCCCTGCAGGGAGACCTTCTAGGTGTCGTTTTCTGTCGCTGCCCCTGACATTCTGGTCCCACTGATGTGTGTGTGTGTGTGTGTGTGTGAGAGAGAGAGAGAGAGAAAGAGAGAGAGACAGAGAGGGAGAGAGAGAGAGAGAGAGAAGAGAGACTTCGACTTCTCGGCTTACAGTGTCCCTTGGAAGTTTCTCTTAAACTTCATAGCATCTTCAAGGTTGTTTTACATTTGGTGTGGCTATGCCCCTTCTTTTTTAGAAGACCCCACTCAGATGGCATTAGGAACCCCCATACCAGTATAAAAGGAGCTCTGGTAGCATAGTGCCTAAGGCATTTGACTGCTAACCAGAAGGCTGGCGGTTCAAACCCACCAGCCACTCCTTGGAAGGAATGCTGAGCAATCTACTTCCTTAGAGATACCACCTCGGAAACCCAAGGAGGTGTTGCTGTGAGTTGGAAACCGACTCAATGGCAGTGAGGTTTTTTATATATATACACACACACACATATCAGTATAAAGAGCTCTGGTCGCACAGTGGTTTAAAGTATTAGGCTGGTAACCCAAAGGTTAGCGGTTCCAACCCACCAGCTGCTGCACAGGAGAGAGATGAGGTAGTCTCCTCTGTAAAAGTGACAGCCTGGGAGACCCTCTGAGGCAGTTCCACTCTGTCCTCTAGGGGCGCTGTGGGTCAGAATGGAGTCCAGGGCAGTGGGTGTGGTTTGGGCTTTGCTTCTGTGAAGACTGACAGCCTTGGAGACCCT